AGGTTGTTAATGAAGTTAAGAATCGATATATCAATCACCCGAAGGGGCAGCATGCGAGGCATCAAAGGTGCTATCTCTACCCAAAGTCGTCTATGCCCATATGGACGAATAGTAGACAAAAATGGGATCTTTAATATTATCAATAGAAAGTACTTAACGTTATTTACATTATTCAGACTGTTATCCTCATCTTCTTTGCCATATTCACTGTGACGTCCCCGCCGCTCGTTCGTTCGTACGTTCGGTTGTCGCCGCTCCAAGCGTGACGTCCGCCTGTCTGCGTCAGTCGTGCTATCCCGTCCTGTGACGACCAACTGGTTTGGTATCGGTCGCTGCACCCAAATGTGACGTTCTAACCTTTTGGTGATTCTGATGGGAATCTGGTTAGATTTGATATCAGCCTCGTCGTTCCCAACTCGCCTCCAACGTCTGGTTACCGAAATAACTACTTTGATTTCCAGTCTGCCTACCCACGTTGTGAATTGATCTTAGGTAGACGAAATCAATCAGTCGTCGGGGCCGTAATGCAAGTCGAGTTCGAATAAGGGTGGTATCGCACAAGTATGTGTAAATGAAAAGAAAATAATAAGTCGAAAATTTCAAATGTGTTAAAAAGGATAACAATATTTTATATCTGGTTGCTGAATATAGGACTACGTCTATCTCCCGACCCGCTATATGGATTCCTGACACGTTGTTTTTGTTTGGCGAGTCTTAACATCTTAAGTTGTCTGTTCTTTAAGTAACTGGTTCTTGGTGTGTCTTCAGGCGATATTCGTAAAACTTGTTTTGGTGGTATGAGTCTAAGTCGCTCTTCAAAAATAAATTGTTCTTGGATTGAAGATGAGTTCGGAATTGCGTGAATCTTAGTCAGCTAATGCGTGGTGGATCTTCAGAGCTCTCAACTTAACTCGAACTCACTGGAACAGGAAACACTGGAAAGCTGGAAACCAAACTCGAACTGATTTTCGCTCGCTGCGACTTTGCTTATATGGACGCCGACCAAAACCGGGGTGGGCTTTGTCGGGGTTTGAGGTTTCTTGATAATTCCAAATCCACAATCCCCTTTTTTTGTTTTCGGTCAAAAAAAAATTATTATTTCCATTTTTGAAAGTATTCTCTTACCCCCACCTTCTTTCGTTCTCATATGGTCTCTTACCATACCCCCAGAGGGCGTCAACGGTTTTCCTACTCCTTCGCAGTAACATCTCATACCTATCCCCTTAATTGGTGGTAGCAGGCCTCTCCCCCTGCATCACTTGATCACTTCCGCCTGGTTCTCGTTAACCTTCATCCAATTGGCGTTCGACAGTGTGGGTGTGACCAGACTAGCCTTGTTTAAAAATATATATATATATATATCTTGCTCAAAGAAAAAAAATGATCTCTTTTTCTTTTTTTTCTATTTCCTTTCTTTCTTTTCTTTTCTCTCTTCTTCTCTGGCCGCCAACAGAACAATAGGACCAGTAGTGTGATAATCTCAATTCTTATCCCAAAGTCACTTTCATATGGACTTCGTCAATCAGATTTTCGCCAGCACCAAGTGGCTGGCCAAACAGACGCATTCACTTCTCGGCACCAACCACTGATACGATGGAACGACTTCGCCATTTTTCTGATAATATTGTTTCGCTCATAGTCAAATTTCAACACAAAACAGACACCTTGTCTAACGATATCTTTCCATCGACAAAGACTTAACCTATTTTTGTTTTTTATTCAACTCGTGTGTGGTCAGGGCATTCCCATTTCTCGGTCACGGAAAATCTTTTCCCGATAATATAAGTTCGCCACCATGACACAGTTAATTTTTTTTATCTATTCAAAACTCTGTATCTGGCCATTTGACCCACCTGGAGTTTGTCAAATGGCCATAAAAATTTTCACTATTCTTCATTATCAAAATAACATCGCTAAGTGCCCTTTTGTGATGGCTTTCCTTTATCATCTAAGTTTCAACTCTTGCCCCTCTTTTTCTTCCTTTTTTTCTTCTTTCCTTTCTCCTTGCAGCCCTAAATGGTGTCACACACAACGTCCCGGCCGTTGTACGCCCCAGCCTTCTTCAGGCGATTGGAATTTCAAGCCGAATCCTTTATTTTAGCCACCGGGGGGTAGACTTTTCTAGTTCCACGTGTCATGCATCTTTTGGATGTCTCAGTTATTTCCGTTTAACTCACCTCTCCAAGTTTTAGTTCTTGCTGCTGTGGCCCGGTATTGAACTCACAACTCTTTGGGTCTAGTCCCTGGATCTAACCAACGTCTTTATCCACTACGACATGTGTCCTTGTGTCGGTTCGAAATTCCAATCACCTGAAGAAGGCCGGAGCGTACAACGGCCGAAACGAAAGCCATTCAGCTTTACGCCCCGACATACGTTACCGGAACACCATCTTTATATTTTTGTTTATTTCGGCGTTTTTGTTCTATATTTACAGGGTACGATGGGTAAATTGTCACCATTTGATATTTTCTAATTGAGATGTTGTGAGTTTCCCGCGTGTCGGTGTATGAATCAAGACAAACACAGTTGTAGAGGAAAATACTGGTATATTCATAAAAGCAATTAACAATAGAGTGATTAGTAGAACGAAGGTTGGTTAGTACGAAACAATATCCAAAGTCTATAGTCCAACGGTATGTACCGGGTAAGCTTATCTGCACTGCTAAGATATTTAGCCCCCTCCCCACGAGGGTGTCATGCGGCACAAGGCCTTTTTAACGTGGGCATTCCCGAGCCATTAGGCTCGGCCAAAAAATAGCCCATTTGAACCCGTATAAACGGGTTCAGGGCCGGTTTTACCTCCCCGAAGGAGACTCCGCCCTTCAGCGTAGCCTCCTTCGGGTTCCTCTCGCCCGTAGGAAGAGAGTTGAACCGATCAGTCGCTCAGAAAGTATCTGGACTGCTAAGATATTCAGCCACCCACCCACGAGGGTGTCATGCGGCACAAGGCCTTTTTAATGTGGGCATTCCCGAACCATTAGGCTCGGCCAAAAAATAGCCCATTTGAACCCGTATAAACGGGCTCAGGGCCGGTTTAACCTCCCCGAAGGAGACTCCGCCCTTCGGCGTAGCCTCTTTCGGGTTCCTCTCGCCCGTAGGAAGAGAGTTGAACCGAGCAGTCGCTCAGAAATTTTCTGGGCTGCTAACACTGACTCTCTCCCCAGAGCTGACTTATATAAGAGGGACCAGTCCATTACTAGTTAGAAGGTGGGTGCGCCCCAACACTAATTTCGTGCATACGCGTTGTTTTTGATTTTGTCGACTATACATTATAATGGGGTCAGTTGGGCACTGTTTGTGAAAGAAAAAGCACCGTGAGGCATTTCACTCCGCCAAAAAATTTGGAAACGGCATGCTCTACTACTTGGCATTCGCACCGGAAGCGCCAATACGAAAATTTCACAGTGTTTTGCTGTGAATCTGATGATAGTTCAGAGGGTTCAGAAAGAATTTGATGAGTCTGATGGTGATTATGAAGATGTTTGACGTGATCACTAGTGATGGCGACGTTAGGACTACATTGATCTTCCCACACAGACTCAAACTCAAAACGGAAGCCTACATCAAGTGCTTTGAGGAGATCATGTTTCCCTGGGTCAAGAAGGAGGCTGCTAGAAGACACTATATCTGGCAACAGGACTCTGCACCACGCCACACAAGCAGGAGAACACAATCATAGCAGTCAGACAATTTCAGCGACCACATCACTCCTTAAATTTGGACAACAAACTCTCCAGATTGCAACCTCCCACCCTTGATCATTATGTGTGAGGCGCAGTTGAGCAAGAAATCGACATAAGATTGTTGTAACACCAAAGATGAAATGAAGGCAAGGATTATAGCAACATTCACCAATTTAAACAAGGAGATCGTCCAGAAGAGATGAAGGAGATCCCGAAGTCGTCTGGAGGCCGTTGTTCAAGGAAATGGCGATTGTATTGTATAAATGTGCTCTTTAGTATTTCAAGATGTTTTTTGTGCAATTTCGGTAAATATATCTGTTAAAAAGAGATGTCAATATCATTTTCATTTTTGCCTAATTTATCCACGCCACGAAGAAGCAGTTCGAAATATTAAAGAACAACATGTGTAATGAAGGTTTAAGAAATCTGACACCCACAAGGGTTCCTGAAATCCAGCGTGACGGAGGAAATCAACGTAAATTGCCTAACAAGTTTGTGAAAATAGTGAGCATAACACGGATTAGGAGAGGCAGCAAAAAGATAAAATTTACTAAGAGATGAAAAAGAAATTGTAGAGAGCCATGATCGCCCACGTTCTGAACGGACTCGCACAAGAGGAAGGAATTATGATAATTGGTTTGGGCACAAGTAAGAGAAAGTACATCGGATCCGGCGGGTTTTATGAAGCTGAGCCACAGTGAGGGTCACGGTGCCTTCTCTTCTGACTTAACAGATAGAATATAAATTACAATACCTGATATTAAAATGTAGGAATCCCTGGACACATTGTGAAAAAACAAAGAATCTATCTATCTATCTATCTATCTATCTATCTATCTATGTAAGATTATTATACCTATTTAGCTATGTATCTCTACTTCTCTCTATCTATCTATCTATCTATCTATCTATCTATCTATCTATCTATCTCAGTCACTTTCTAGTTATTAACCTATCGATGTCTGTCTGTCTGTCTCTCACTATCTATCTATCTATCTATTTATCTATCTATCTTTTTAAGCCCTCTATCTATCTCAGTCACTTTATATCTATCTATCTATCTATCTAAGACTTATACCTGTCTAGCTATGTCTATCTATATATCTCATTCTCTTATATCTAGATAGATAGATAGATAGATAGATAGATAAGCCTTTGCACATCTATCTATCTATCTATCTATCTATCTATCTATCTATCTAAGACTCTTATACATATCTATGTATCTCTCTCACTATCTGTCTCAGTAGTTTTTCAGTTTTCTATCTTAGCTAGCTAGCTATCCTTTTAAGGCCTCTATCTATCTGTTACTTTATATGTATCTAGCTACCTACCTACCTACCTACCTACCTATCTATCTATCTATCTATCTATCTATCTATGTAAGACTTATGCCTGTCTAGCTCTGTATATATATATCTCTGTCTATCTATATATCTCATTCTCTTTCTTTTTATATCTATCTACCAAGCAAGCTTGCGAGCTAGCTAGCTTGATAGATAGATAGATAGCTAAGCCTTTGCATTATCTATCTATCTATCTATCTATCTATCTATCTATCTATCTATCTAAGACACTTATACTTATATATGTATCTCTCTCACTATCTATCTATCTATCTATCTATCTATCTATCTATCTATCTATCTATCTATACACATCTATGTATCTCTCTCACTATCTGTCTTAGTCTCTTTCCAGTTTTCTATCTATCTATCTATCTATCTATCTATCTATCTATCTATCTATCTATCTATCTCAACCTGTTTATATATCTATCTATATATTTATCTATGTCTCTCCCTCTCTCTCGCTTTCTGTCTATCTATCTATCTCAGCCTCTTTATAGTTATTTAAATCTCTTTCTATATCTTTATATATATATATCTATGTCTCTCTATACCTATCTATGTCTCTCTCTCTCTGTCTATCTATCCATCTCTCTCTCTCTATCTACCTCAGTCTCTTTATTTTTCATCTATCTATCTATCTATCTATCTATCTATCTATCTATCGTGGGCGTGTGTTGCTTCTCAAATCAACATAGTTTAAAAAATAGCATGCATTATTTAATTCGTGAAACCGCTCTTCTGTCAATATATGCGCATTAAATATTCATGAAAAGCCAGTCAATATTTTGTTTCCCACAAACTGAACATATATTTTCGAAATTAGAAAACATCCAGAAAATTCGTTTCATCAATAAATTATTAATAATCAATAAGGTACTGTCAAAATGTTGCGAAGTTATCTGCTCAAATTCGCTTGATAAATCTTAAAGACATTATTATTATTATTATTTATTATTATTATTATTATTATTATTATTAACCTTTCATAATTGTGTTTGGTCTATTCTGTTTTGATCGCGTGGAAAGAGAGAAAAAGACACTACCTGGTTTCAGTGAGAAAATGAAAGTGTTTAAAGGAAGTTTTTGTGAAATGTAAAAACAGTTGTTAATTTCAAATCTGTTCATTTGCACCCACTTCTTAAAATAATGATAGCATTCATATATATGATTGTTATTAAAATATTTTGTTAAAGTTTTTAAGTTTAAAAATTTAACGATATTTTATGGGATTTTTAACGGATATTTTATGCCATAGAACTCACCATGAGCTTATTCAATCATTAAATTTAAGTATTAAGTTTCATCAGATAATTAAAATGGGTAAACCCTGAAATTTTTATGGGAAGAATCTAGTTATAATTATTTTTTATTATTATAGTTGTTTTATTTTTGTTGTTGCTGTTGTTGTTGTTGCTGCTGCTGTTCTTGTTGATGTTGTTGTTCATCCATTGCGAAACTTTCGTCTTCATTTACCTTCTCCGCCATTTTTTTCGCGTCAGTTAATATATATATATATATATATATATATATATATATATATATATATATATTTTATATATATACAGACTTGTGCAAATTAATTGAAACAAAACGAATAATTCCGTAATTATTTACTTTTTTTCGTATTTTCCAATGAAACATAAACTAGTGCTCGTGTTAGTACTTCGTACGTCCATTCCACGAAGTCGTTCCTTGCAGATTGACCACAGATTCTCGAGAGTTTCCGGGCCAGTCTATAGTACTTTGATTTGCTTACTAGTAAGGCTTGCCAGTCTGTTCGTACAGCGTTATAATTTTCGTACGCTTCCTTGGAGTAACGTCCATCGCAGACAATGGCCGTAGGACAACTAATCGACAGCTCAGACAATAGTGTACGGACGTGATGAAAATTTGATGCAATCACAGATGACGCAATATTTTTCAAGTTCGAACAAATTTAATTATACACCCTGAAAATAGATTCATTTTACAACACACCAGTGCAAATGACCTAATCTGAGGAAAAAATAGAAATTGATTACACCCTGTCACTCTAAAACTGACCGTATGGTGAAAGAAAGGAAACTAAAGTGGTTATTTTAATTAATTTGCACAATGATATATTTGCTTAAGCATGTGAATCGTCGAATCTGTCGTAATCCTTTTTAGGTTCAAGTTAATCGGATTTTAAACCGTAGTATAGCCCAAAACAGGAGATGAGTGAACTGTTGTTGGATACATTGCTTTCTTTATTATCATGTTACACTGTAATTAAATTTGAAACACCAGTTGTTTGTCACGTCAATTTAGACATCAGCGCCCTATCTTGTTAGAAATCAACTAAACGTTGTATATTTTATCATCAGTGCAGGGAGTATAGATATAAAGAATGAACACCTCGAGAACACTGCTTAGTGTAGGGGTCGGTATAAAACTCTTTCACAGGGGTTGGGCCGCTTTTGCGAAAAGTTAACCGTAACACAATAACAACACGGGTTTCACAACGAAAGTTTAAATAGCCAACATACATATTATGTTTACATCTCTTCACTTATTGGTTAACATCATCACCATTATCATTGATTTGGTTAGTGCATTTTGCGATTCTGTGGTCAGCAATCGCCTCCATCTCCTCCTCTCCGATGCTGCCCTTACAGCCTCAGCCATCGTCATTCCTGTCCACCACTTAATAGCCTCAAACCAAAAGCATAGTTGTTCATCCCTGGCGCCGCTTGCATTCCACTGGGCCCGGCAGCATGTCCTTATCGAAGCCGCTTGGTTGCATAATACGCTCAAATTAACTGAGCTTCCTTAGTGTCACCTGCTCTGTTAACACGTAACTAGTTATGATGGCATCTAGCACCCCTTTATTAGTGTGTCCATAGCACTCTAAGGACTCTGCGATATGCCCACATTTCGAAAGAATCGATCCGGTTTCTTTCCCTCTTGTTCACTGCTCATGACTTGACTAGCAACCGTAGCTGACGATGGCGAAATCAGTGCCTCGTAGTAATTTCAACGATAGGCTGATGTGCATATATATCTATATGCATGCCTATTTCATATATATATATATATATATATATATATATATATATATATATATATGACGTCATCCACAGACAGACTGTTTCGGTGTTTCACAGCTCATCACTGTGGCTAGACATCCGGTTGCCTCTAGCTAGGATCGAAACCCGACTGAATTGGTGTCAGTCGGAGATTCTAACCATTAAGCCGACAGTGACTCAATTCGCATCTGCGAAGAGTCTCGCTATATAGCTATAATAGTCACTGTTTACCAACCCACACCTCGTCCCCAGAGAGCTCAACTGAAATTGATATTTCAGGAGATATGTATATATCTGTGTGTGTGTGTGTGTGTGTGTACGTGTACGTGTACGTGTGTACTGCAACTAAGCATTTTTCAGCTTTTCTTGAATTCGTACAAGTGTTTTCTTTTCATGGACATAAGGTATATGAAATTGTACAAATTTTCGATATATATATATATATATACCCAAGTACAGGATTAGTGCAGAATAATTTTTAATAACCAAAAATACTATTCTTAAAAGAGTACTCAATACAAAGTAAGCTAATATAATTTATTCGAAAATTATAACATAAACATGTTATAAAATCACTACAAAATAGTCATTTTGTTACAACACTTCTGGTGTCTTATCAACACCATCACTTGAGAAGACACCAGAAGTGTTGAAACAAAATGACTATTTTGTAGTGATTTTATAACATGTTTATGTTATAATTTTTGAATAAATTATATATATATATATATATATATATATATATATATATATATATATATATATAATCAGTTATATTTATATTAGTTTGTAAACCTCGGTTTCACGACTTTGCAATCATCAGACAAACTGGTTTATTTTTTCAAAATTGTATCTATTTATACATATTTGTGTTTTATTATTTGTGTATGGTGGAGGGGTGGTTACAACGTGGTTACAAATTAATATCCATGCAACTGAATATATTAGCTCTATCACAGATATTGAGCACTTTCCACGAAGTGCCGCATATATATATATATATATATATATATATATATATATATATATATATATATATGATTTCTGTAATGGAAGGATAAATATCTACAATGTCAAATTGGTTTCATCCATGTATATATATATATATATATAAAAAGTTAACATTGAAGTCGACACTTAGAGGCGAGAGGCCACGAGTGTTGTTTGTTTCTCGACTATTTATATATACGGGTCAATGGTGCATTGTGGGTAGTCTATTTTGGCAGTTATTTTGTCGGAAGTCGTTTATTTGCTTATTTTTTTATCTATTTATTTGGGTTAAATCAGTTTGCTTGTTTTTATTGTTTCTATTTTGTTTTTGTTTTTTATTTCTTATCTTATATATTTATTTATTTTTATTTTCCCCGATGTTTTTATTAACGTAGTAAAAATTGTTTATATTAACCACCATAGAGATCCTTCCCTGCCCCTCATTAAAATGTCTGATAGTCAACTTCCTGAGAGCAACTCCCTGCGTCTGCTCGGTCTCACGCTGACTGCTGACCTGAGATGGAACAAATACATTGAGTCAATTGCTTCTTCCACCGCGAGGAAAGTTGGCTCTCTGTGCCGCGCCAGGAAATTTTTCTCCCCTGAATCGATACTTCAAATATACAAAACAACCATTCGCCCTTGCATGGAGTATTGCTGCCATATATGGGCTGGAGCACCTTCTGCTTACCTCGGAGTTCTTGACAAGATCCAGAGAAGGATATGTAATCTAATTGGCCCTGATCTAGCGTCTTGCTTGCAGTCACTGTCTCACAGACGCGCCGTCGCCTCTCTCTGTCTTTTCTACAAATACTTCCATGGTAACTGCTCTGATGAGCTGCTCTCTCTGGTTCCCAGACTCCATGAATTCAAGCGCCCTACGAGGCTGGCATCCCGCTCTCACCCTTACACCGTAGAAACTTTCAAATGTAGCCGTCTCTTCTACTCCAATAGCTTCATACCTCGCACCTCTCGCCAGTAGAACACCCTCCCCAATTACTGTTTCCCTGAAAGCTATAATCTCCAACTATTCAAATGTAATGTCAATCGACATCTCCAATTACCTTGATCTACCCACTATCCTTCTCCTCTTCCTTTCTCCTATAACTCTTATCTGCTCTCGCTCCAAACCCCCTGCATCCTAGTGGCTTCACGCCTTGTTTGGGGCTCAATGCTTAAAAAAAAAAAAAAGAAAAAAAAAATCGCTTATTTAATAGTTTTGTTTTGGTTTGGGAAGATAAAGGTATTTATTCGATTTTGGGGTTCATTGCTGCAGTTTATTCTAACTAGTGTCTTGGGAGGAGCAGTTTTTAATTTGTTTATTACTTCATTTATTTATTAGGATTGATTATCTTTACTTGTTTTTTCTAACAGCTAATTTATCGGGATCGGTTCGTTAGTTTGCTTGTTTATTTGGATTAATTTATTCTATAGTTTTTTTTTATTATTTATTTCTTATGTTGCATATTTTTATTTACTCTTTTCGGTTTTCGATTTTTAAGAAAAACAAAAATCGTACCGCTGCTCGTGACGTCACACATGACCACGCGAGAGTGAAAACGAGAAGTATTAAGTGTTAAGACGCTTCCAGCGTAGGCATGAGTTTGTTGTTGCTTGGAAATCTTCCATGCAAACAAAAACAGACTACCATTATTGTTTTGTCCGTGTATTGTTTAATATATTGTAATGTAATTGTCATCTTTGATAATGGCTTATGTAAGCCGAAAGCTTAGATAGGTTTAACAAATATGTATCAATATGGTGATTTTCTTTCTGCTTTTAATGATAATGCTATTAAGCTTATCAGATGATATGAAAAGAATTTACATATAATAAATCGATAAAACTTGTCTATATTATTTAATGAAACAGGCATCAATGAAAAATGCTGCCTAAATACACACAATATATATATATATATATATATATATATATATATATATATATATATATATATATATATATTTCTTGAAAAATAAAAATGTTTAAAAATTAAAATTTCCGAGACGCTGTGTTTTATATTAACTTTTTATTATTATTATTATTTAAATTAGATTCCTCGACAGTGAACTACATGAGTGAATGATTGTCTTTGAAGATATTGAACTGTATCTTTAGTTATAATTATGTTTTGGTCAGACCTTTTATTAGATAAACGTCCCCTTTCAATTTTTTTTTTCTAAATAGAGGCTGGAAGATCCATAACTCTCAGAATTCCACTTTTGCATTTTGTCATCTTGTTTTATGGGAAGGGTGTGTTTGTGTTAACACTACGTTATCTTTTAGTTTTTTGGGAGTGTGTGTGATGTGTGCATGTGTATATATTTGTGTAAGTGTATGTATATGTATGAGACCTCAACACCTCTGCAAGCATGTCTGTCTAGTGTAGTTGAGAAATATGGCTGGTGGTTGATCTATGGGATTATATATTAATTCTATTTGTGTTGTTTAGTCTGTGACTAGCAACTTCTCCATATAACTCTGTGTGTCAGTGTTTTTGTGTTGCTTCTTGCAAGAGATCGAAATCGAGAGATATATTTGTGTACATGTTGATAAACATTTCATTTCTCTTTCAGTTTCCACTTAATTTTATTACACACCGGTAGCTTGACATTCATCCAATAATTTTGAGGATTTAAACTACTGATGTTTAGTCCTTGTGCGAATAATCCACCTCAGATCAAATCCAAGAGGCCAAACACTCATTAAATACCTCCATCTCCCTTTTTTTTCTTCAGAAATGACGCTCTTGTGGACCACACAAACTCAACTACACATCTTCCGAAATTACTTAATCCCAATGTATGTGACACGCTATCATTCTCAAGTGGCTAGTGATATTAACGCCATTTTCAACAGCTCTTTATCTAACGCCCCAACAAGTTTTCCTGACGAGCTGACCTCCTTGAGAATCGAATCAATTTTGCCGGAACCTACCAGAAGACGCCAGGTTGACGCTGCAGCCGTTTCGTCTACCTCTTCACAATGGTGGTTTCAATAAACGTGTAGAAATGGCTAAGAATATAGGAATATTGTTGATAGTCAGTCGCTCGTTGTAGGTGAAGACATATATCTCTTCCGTTTTAGGTGTTGAAAGTTGGCACTGGCACAAGTTTGGCTCTTTTAGAAAAAGAGATAGAAGAAAGGGTGGGTGAAAGAAGTGATCTCTTCAATTGCCAAATACAAGGGGTACTTTAACACGGGAGCTAGAGAGACAGGTGGCAGTTTAATCTGTACTTCTCTCTCTCTCTTTTCTCTCTCTCTTTCTCATTATGTGCTGTGTCCCCTCAGGATGTAGGCGATCATGGCTCTCCAAAATCCCTTGCATTTCTAAATAAATCGTTTTTTCGTTGTTTTTATACTCTGTACCGCCATCCGTTGTCTCAAGCTCGTCAATTATGTTAAAAGTTGTTTTTCTCTTACCCTGTTGCCCTCAATCCGTCCTGTGAGTATCAGATTTTCTAAGCCTTCTTTCCTCCTTATGCGTCCTTGAAATTTCAACTGTCTCTTTTTGATGTTATGCATAAGTTTCCTTTTCGTTACTCACATGTTCTGTCCATTGTATGCTCAGTATCTTTCTGTAGAACTACATTTTTGTTGCTTCAAGCCTATTCTTCATCTTTAAAGAAATTTCCCAGCATTCCCTGTCATACA